CCTATGTAGAAATCCCTAGAAACAGTCTCTCCGTACAAATAAAGACACCAAATTCCTACGCTTCTCCTCTACAATTTTTTTCCCCTTTTTGTCTGTAGAATTTTCCGGGGAACAAGAAACTGTAACTCCAGATTTTTCAATCCTCAAAGTGTAGATCAATAAAAGTTTTTAGATTTGGGAATTTTCCTCCCAATATATTTGTAGAAAACAGAAAAAAGTTTCGATTTTTTACTTCTTATCTTGAATCTTTTCGATTAGAAAAAAAAACCTTTTTTCAATCTGATTTTGTGTTTAGGATCTTGGGTTTTGTTTTGTTGTTTTTAAAATGGAAAAGAAGAAAGTTTGCCATGGCCATTCAAGACCTGTGGTTGATTTGTTCTATAGTCCAATCACACCAGATGGTTTCTTCCTCATTAGTGCTAGTAAAGGTAATTACTTTAGATTTTGTTATGATCACAAATTGAAGTAGTTGATGAGGTTACAATTCAAACCTATAAGTATAAAATTGGGTCTCTTTGATTACAAGAACGAAACTTGGTACTTCAAATTACTGTTTGGTGGGTACTATGTGGTGTTTACATGCTTAGATTACCCATATTTGTTTGCTTGCTTGCATTTGTTTGTTTGAGTGTTTTGAGAATTGTCGTGTGTTTTAATGCGTTTAGATTCGCATCCGATGTTGAGAAACGGGGAAACTGGAGATTGGATTGGTACATTTGAAGGTCATAAAGGTGCAGTGTGGAGTTCTTGCTTGGATAACAATGCATTACGTGCCGCATCTGCATCGGCGGATTTTTCAGCGTATGTGTTTGGTTTGTTAGTGTTTGATTTGTTAGGGTTCCATTATAGCTCTCGGCCAAGAACTTAATCGGCGAATTGTTTTATTTATTCGTGCAGGAAACTTTGGGATGCGTTAACAGGAGATGTGCTACATTCTTTTGAGCATAAGCATATTGTTCGAGCATGTGCCTTCTCAGAGGTTCGTTCTAATATTTTACTGTCTCCATGTAGCTATTCTCTCTATTTGGTCAACTAATGTATGTAATTTGAAGTTCTCTTGATAGGCGTAAGCTTTTATACCTTTGTGATTGGATTCTGTTTTGGTCAACAGAATTACAACTTCAATGCTGTTGGAGTTTGGTTCATTACGTGATACCGGAATTGTTCTTTAGCGTGGACTATTCTTAGACATTTTGGTTGTGGATAATTCCTCGTTGTTCACAGTTATGCATTAGTTACTGTTTGATTGCAATGTGTCTAACATGTTTCTTTAACTAGGATACAAAATCGTTGCTCACTGGAGGATTTGAGAAGATTCTCCGTGTTTTTGACTTGAATCGGTTGGATTCACCTCCTACAGAAGTCGATAAATCTCCTGGTTCAATCAGAACTCTTACATATCTTCACAGTGATCAAACAATCTTAAGTTCTTGCACTGATATTGGCGGTGTAAGGTATGAAACTATACGAAATAACTAGCCACGACTAAATACACATTGTCGAATAAAACAAGGCGTAATTTGATAGATTATTTCTTATACAGGTTATGGGATGTGAGGAGTGGAAATATTGTCCAGACCTTAGAAACTAAATCTCCTGTCACCAGTTCTGAAGTGAGCCAAGATGGACGATATATTATAACTGCTGATGGGTCAACAGTTAAATTCTGGGACGCAAACCAGTAAGTTCTTATTCCGAGAAGAGAATCTGATCTTTTGTTATTACCATTTTTAATTTTCTCAAGCTCTTTTTTTGTGTATTTCTTTAAGTTTTGGACTAGTGAAGAGTTTCGACATGCCTTGCAATATTGAATCTGCATCGCTGGAACCAAAGTCTGGCGAAAAGTTTGTTGCCGGTGGCGAGGATATGTGGGTCCGAGTGTTTGATTTCTACACTGGCGAGGAGATTGGTGAGTGACTCTTACAATGTTTGCGAGATCTTCTCACAAAATTTGATTGATCAAAGCAAAAGCTTTTTATGATGTTTTTGGTTTCTGATATTGTCTCATCTTTGTCTGAAACTTAGGATGCAACAAGGGACACCACGGTCCGGTACACTGCGTGAGGTTTTCACCGACGGGCGAGTCCTACGCCTCGGGATCTGAAGACGGTACCATTAGAATCTGGCAAACGAATCCCGCGAATCCCGAAGAGAACGAATCAAGTTCGAGGAGAGTGAAGCATAACGTGGATGAAGTTTCTAAGAAGATTGAAGGCTTTCACATCAACAAAGAAGCGAAAACCGCAGAGAAACCATCTGATCCTTAGGCAAAAAAGCTTAATGTCTTTGTAGTTCTTGATTTGCTGTGTTGTTTCCATGACTGAATGAGAATATACAGAGAG